AAATGTAAGAAGTGTGGTACACAGTCAGATATAGATCAACTTCAGTCAGTTCTAGAGGGCGGTAAACATTCTGTTGGATTTCTTATTAGTGAACGCTTTATCAATCTTCCACCACAACTGGCACTGCCACTTCATAAAAGTTTACAGTATGTGCTACTATATTATTGATTTTTTTTTATTTATTTAATTATGTATGTTTAAATATATAATTGTTTAGAACTGTATTAATTTGAGACCACCTATGAGACCTGAAAATTTAGGGTGGTCTCAGGGTCCAGTCTCCAATTAGAGGGTAAGCTTTCTGTCAAAAGATTGTAGATTGGTTGTTAGTACTCTGAAAAAGTAGTATTGAATTAAAGGGGTCTTGGGATTAGAGGCATCTCAAATTGGAGGTTAAATTGTATACAAATAATTATTAGGATATTTTTTATTATTTTGTACTATATTTAATTTTTATTATGTCTACTGTATTATTAAAAACAATTGATATTTTGCATGTTGCTAAGTAAGAATTTTATTTTATGTTCTGTTTGAAAAAGACTTTACTAATTAAGTTAATTTTTTTCCAATTAAAATTGTTTTAGTGGTATGTTATATAAATTTTTATTCTTTTATATGGTTATTACAACTTGTGTGAGGTCAACATTTGAAATTAATATTACTCCAGTAGTTTTGTGGTTTATCTGCAGTAAAGTTTTAAATTGAAATATGTGTTTATCTTTTTAGAAAAGATCTTGGCTCAGCTTCACATAAAAGTCCGAAGTTTAATTTTGATTACTATTTAATGATCAGTAAGACATTCAAAAATCCAGAGAGCTCAACATCAAAGAAATCCAGCAAACAAGGCAAAGAATCGACAAATGAAATTGCACTCTTTTCAAATGCGGAGGAAGAATATTTTCATGAGGTAACAACTACTTAATTTTTAAGTTTAAATAAAGATTATATCAGTACTGTATTGTCTAATTCATTACATTTATTACTTAGCCTACGACACTTGAACCGTTTCAACTCAGTTTCAAGCCTTGTTTGCAGACAGCTCAGATAAGACCGCTTGTGTGCACATATAGTTTAGTGCACAATTAGACTTATGAGAGAAAAACAAATGTGCCTTGCCCATTGTGGGGTTCAACCCTCTGATGCCTGCCCTTTTCGAACCACTCCCACAACCTGTGCCCAGGATCGCTGCAGATTGATGTATGGCGATATCTGTTTTTGACAGAAAGTCGAGTGGTTGAGCGGTAAGGCAGGGGTGCCACGAACTACAGCCTTAACTTAGGCGCTGATTTGAGCCAAAACTCGCACAGGGTTCGGTTTGTAATATCTTTTCGTATAAGGACTTAAAATAGAGGTACAGTGTATACATCTGGCTGGTTTGCACTTTAAAGAACCCATTGCCTTCTTTCAGAAGAGTAGGGGGCTACCCCGATGCTATGGTTCATTTCGGCCCATTATTGTGCAATGATGTGAACACGAAACTACTTGACGACAGCAAGGTAGTCACGGGCCACGCGCATACGCAATCAATCAACTCAAGGGTGCTGCGAATTATA